AACGGTAATCGAGAACACTCAATATCTTTGCGTAGAGACCTGCTATTTGAATTCCGTTTTTTTGGCAGTTGTTATGACATAAAAATACACATTTTTATGGTCTTTGAATTTTTTTTACTTAATTAGTCACGCGCATGCGCAAGTCAACTTTTTTTTTTTAAATGGCAACCCCCTGCTTTAACCACTACTTATTTTTTGCCTATTTTTTTAATGAATTTTGGTAGTTGAATCAACTTTCTAAGTCCAAAATTGACCAAGTTACAGCCAATCAAAAAAAGAAAAATTAGAAAAAAAAATGTGCTCGATTTTCAGCTTTTTGATTGTAACTCTGAAAATAATTATTTTAGGAATGTTAAACATTGACATTTTTGTAACTGTTTATTACGGTGATATTCATACGTTATTTTAACTTCAATTACTGAATAATTTTCTCGCGCTGAATCATGTTTTGTTCACGGCAGAGAACAGTTTGAACAATTTATTCGTTAGATTTTTTTTTTTTTTTAGATTTTTATTAACTAAATAAATTGGTAACTTAAATAAGAATTGAATTTGTTATAAATTAATAATTATTAATACGTTCTAATAGATCCATTAAATGTAAAGAAATAAACAACATACTAATTTACGTTTTTTCTGCTATAATAAGTTATATGATTTATTACACAAATTAAAGAGAAAATTATTCAGTAGGTAATTGAAGTTAAAATAACTTATAAATATCACCGTAATAAATAGTTACAAAAATGTCAATGTTTAACAATCGTAAAATAATTATTTTCAGAGTTAAAATCAAAAAGCTGAAAATCGAGCACATTTTTTTTCTAATTTTTCTTTTTTTTGATTGGCTGTAACTTGGTCAATTTTGGACTTAGAAAGTTGATTCAACTACCAAAATTCATTAAAAAAATAGGCAAAAAATAAGTAGTGGTTAAAGCAGGGGGTTGCCATTTAAAAAAAAAAAGTTGACATGCGCATGCGCGTGACTAATTAAGTAAAAAAAATTCAAAGACCATAAAAATGTATATTGAGTGTTCTCGATTACCGTTTACACACTGTATATTATATACTGTATAATGTCTATTTATTATGTAACGGGATAAACCGTCACTATATCAAAATGGTCCTTTTCAGGACCACCTAACACAACAGTATGGCAACGTAATACGACACAAGTAATAGACGCGACATATTAGAATAAGTAGTTTGTCAACAGGAAAGTTTCACGGAAATAACAAGCGAAAACCACATTAACAGAGCGAACACCAACGGGTCGAGGTGTGGTTATTGCTTGTCAAAGCAACCAGCCTCGACCAATCACAGGACAACAAAGAGAAACAAATAGTATATATACCGGGACAGTTCACCGGTCAAATCATCATCATCAACACATTAGTTATACTTCAGTTCACATCCGAACAAGTCCAACACCACTCAACTTGCAGCCAGCCTTCAACAGCAGTTCCTCAAACAGCCGTATTCACCGCTCTCAACAGGGCATCAGCGCCCACGGTTCACACCCGAACCGTCACCTAAACAGCCGTTCTCACCGCTCTCAACAGGGCACCAGCGCCCACTTAAACCGCCGCGGAAGCGACGTCGTAGTCCAAATCAACAGCCGTTTTCACCGCTACTCCGACAGGGCACCAGCGCCCAAGGTAAGCCGTCGCGAAAGCGACGGGTATCCACCTCCCACCGTTTATCTGTCGAGGGGCCGCGCCCTCTCATTGCCGCAGAATCCCATCCCTGACCAAACCAAACCCCGCTAGACCCACCCGTCACACCACCAGAAAATCGCTCTTTTCAGAGCTACAGTGTTAAACCCTGAGTTTGTTACGGTCTTGCCATGGGAAAAACAGCTAACAAGCGGAAGGGCCCCGCGCATACACCCGGGAGTTCCAAGAAGGGACGTCCACTTGCCTCACCATCCCCACCGTCCACCTTCCTAAAAGGTCCACAGAGGGATTCCCCCCCCTCTCCAACTCCGTCGACCGACTCATCAATAACAATGTCGTCAAACTACTCCTCTTCCGACACCGAGTCAAACAAATCCGCCCAACACTCCGCCCCGACTACTAAACCTCCACCAGCCAAAACATCCGAACAACAAATCCCGACATCAGCCAAACCCAAGCAAATCAGGCCACCCCCTTAATCTTAAACTCTGCGTCCTGGCGAAAAATCGCACCAACCATCTACAAACTTCCGAACTTCACTCCATCGGCAATTACAGCCAAAACCACATCCAATGGACAAATAACTGTCCAAACTACCGACCCCACCCACTTCCGACAAATTCAGAGAGTCCTAGTTGACAGCAAAACTGAATTCCATACCTTCAGCCTCCCTGAAGATCGTTCCCTTAAGGTCGTTCTAAAGGGCATACCGACCGACATCACCACTGACGATCTAAAATCCGAACTAGAAACCCTAAACTTCCAAACAAAATACATTCGCCGTTTCGGTACTCCCGAAAAACCGATGCCCATGTGCCTCGTACACATTGCGGCAACCCCGAACGCCAAGGATATCTTCCTTCTCAACTCCCTATTTTATCTTACAATTTCGGTAGAAGCCCTTAAACCTTCCGGCCCGGCACAATGTTTTTCGTGCCAACGTTTTGGACACGGTTCCCGTAACTGTGGCCACCCACCCAGATGCGTCAAGTGCGCAGGAAATCACTTGGCATCTGAATGCCAAAAAACTCCCGAGCAAACCCCGACATGCTGCAATTGCGGCGGGCCTCATACGGCTAATTTCCGCGGATGCCCACATCTCTTGACGATAAAACCCAAAATCGCACCACCAACAACCAAACCTCAAACCCTGCCGCCGACAACTCAATCTTTTACACCACCCCCGCCCCCACCAACAACTACAATAAAACCCCAAACCCGCTCGTACGCTGCAGCCACCACCGGCCAAGCGCCCCCACCACCACCACCAAAAAAACCGACCAGTCCCGAAGCCCCACAAATTAACCTGTCCCTCATTTTAAACCTCCTGACCAACCTCTTAACAGCCATAGTAAACAACCAGGACCCCAAAACCCTGATACAAACAGCAATACAATCATTCCTAACCATACTATCCCCCCAAAATGGATAACTTAAAAATTCTATTTTGGAACTCAAACGGCATTAACCACAAACTTGACGAACTGCGCTCTTTAGCACTAAAACTGAAAACCGACATAATCCTACTTAACGAAACCCACCTAAATCCCTCTGCCAGACTTCACATTCCTAACTTTTTTACGTACAGGAACGACCTGCCGCCCGTGCGGGGCTCGCCCGCCCACGGAGGCACGGCCGTTCTCGTCAACCGACGTATCGTCCACCAACCAGTTACCCTAAACACAACCATCCAAACCTCTTCCATCCTCGTACAACTAAACGGCCACGAAGTACTTATTTCAGCCGTATACAAACCACCCGGAACCCTACTAACGACAAACGACCTCGACCTTTTGACAAAGAGTGCCGAATGGCAAATTTCGGCAGGCGACTTCAACGCCAAACATCCGCTGTGGTATAGCCACACGACTAACGCTGCCGGCCGTGTCCTCTTTGACCACGCACAACAATCGGACTACTCTGTAACTGCCCCCTCTTCTCCCACACATTTCCCGACATGCACACGATACAGACCTGACATACTCGACATCGCCCTCGTACGACTACCCTATCAAACCTTCTTTTTTACCTTCAATTCTTCTAGATACACTCTGCACTCCGATCTCTTCTTCTCCACCGGTTACGAATCGGTTTATTAACTGGAAAAAATACACGACAACTCTCGCGAACTTACCGAACTCAACCACTCAACCGACCAACGACCGTGAGTCTATCGACCTGGCAATCGAAAACCTCACAAAACATATCCAACAAGCGGTTGAATCCAGCGTATACGTACCGACACGCAAACACCCGTCCACTGTAGTACCAGACTACATTAAACTGGAAATACAAGACAAAAACCGTATACGCCGCGAATGGCAAATAAACCGCGACCCGACAATTAAACGACAACTAAACGCCAAAATATCTCTCATACGTACCTTACTCGCAACGCACAATACTGACCAATGGGACATCTTTCTTAACTCACTAGACCACCAAGACGGTTCAATATACAAACTCAACAAATGTCTCTTACACAAACGTCCAGCATCTCACCCACTAACCGGCCCCGACGGCCTAGTTTTTCCGGCCAACGAACGAGCAGAGCTGATAGCCGACTCGCTCGAACGTCAATTTCAAACAAACCCCGGCCCCGACTTACCAGACGTAACCGCTCACTCCCAGTACCTACAAGGCCTTGACATCACCCGATCTAACCTCTTTACCACTCCCGGCCAGATACAAGACATAATTCGCAACCTTCGCAAAAAGAAAGCCCCTGGTGACGACCTCATCACCAACACGGCTCTTAAATTCCTACCGAACAACGTTATACTGTCCCTTACTCGGATCATCAACAGCGCCTTCAGAATCTGCTACTTTCCCCTTGCCTGGAAAAAAGCAGTCATCATCTCCATTCCCAAACCAGGCAAAGACCATAAACAACCCGAAAACTATAGACCAATCGCCCTCCTCTCCTCCCTGTCCAAAATTTACGAACGACTCATCCTCACCCACCTACAAGACAAACTCAAAAACAAAATCCGTCCCGAACAGTTCGCCTTCAGACCCGAACACTCGACCACACTACAACTGACCAAACTCACCCACCAACTGAGCGAAAACTTTAACAACGACTTAAACACTGCTTCCGTCTTCCTCGACGTGGAGAAAGCATTCGACCGCGTCTGGCACGAAGGCCTACTCTACAAACTCTCCAAACTCAACATCTCGTTAGAAATCGTAAAAATCATCCAATCCTTTCTCACCGACCGTACTTTTATCACTAAAATTGAACACTCCTTCTCTACTACCAGACACGTACTCGCAGGAGTCCCTCAGGGCTCCTGTCTCTCACCGACGCTATACTTGACGTACATTAACGACATTCCAACGACTCCTAAAGCCAACCTCTCACTCTTCGCTGACGACACGATGTTCTTTACTAGTAATAAAAACCCCAAACGTGCAACCATACAACTACAACACCAACTCAACCTCACGTCCAACTGGTTCCACAGGTGGCGAATCAAAATAAACCCGACCAAAACAGTAGGCGTCCTCTTCGGGCGTTCTAATACAACCCACATTCCACCTCTAACCATCGATAACCAACCCGTTAACTGGTCAAAACAGGCCAAATACTTAGGCGTCACGATTGGACGTAAACTTACATTCAACCAACACATTAAAGACGTAACCAAAAAAACCAACCCGCGTCCGTGGTATGCTTTACCCCTTACTTACCGTACTAGTCCCGTTCCGCTGAAAACAAA